GTGTGTGTGTGTGTGTGTGTGTGTGTGTGTGTGTGTGTGTGTGTGTGGAGGTGCAGCATGTGGCCCTGCTGCACCTCCTCCCTCCATCGCCGCAGTTTCGTGCCAAGAGTGTGAATGTGTGTGTCCGGTTCTGTCCCGCGGCGACAGTCCAGATGCCAGGTTGTTATGATGACTGAGCAGGTCCCTGTGTGTGTGTGTGTGTGTGTAAGACAAAACCGAGTGCGAGAGATGGAGGAAGTAAATCTCCTCACGCTTTGCTGCACACGGCGCTGATTCACAGCCGGCGTCATCACTCTCTTCCTCAGGTATGACAGCGTCTCTCAGAAGCGTGTGTGTTCATTGTTGTTGCTTTGGTCGGCCTGTGAGCTGTGTGCGCTGACGCTGACTGGGGGGGGGGTTCCCGAAGATGCATTTGTGTGTGTGTCTTCGTGTGACTTCTAGCACAGGTACGCTGTGTTCTTTGAAAGCTCTGGCAGAATGAGAGAGGAAGAGTGGGAGGGAGCTGTCAGCGTAGGGACATTTAACGGGAGGGAGTTGTGTGTGTGTGTGTGTGTGTGTGTGTGTGTGTGTGTTTGTTCCAGTGTTGCCCAGTGTATGAAGGGATTAACCCTGTGGGAGTTTGACTGTGCTCTCATGTGTAGCCAACTGTGCTGTCTGCTAGAGCTTCACACACATACACACATACACATTTCGCAAATACAAGACCACACACACTTTACATTCACTTCATCACATTCACACATAATCGGTCTCTCTGTTGCTCTCTTTCTCTGTCACTCTTGCGCAGACACACACACACGCACACACACACACACACACTCGTCCTGTCCAGTCCCCGGGGGGTCGTTTCGACACGGGACGGATTGCAGCGTGACCTTTCGGTTGAGGGTACACAGCTAGATGTGGTCTGGGCCCGGAGAGGGACCGCATGAAGCTGACGGGCAAATAGAAGAGTCAGGACGGAGAGGAAGTGGTTCAACATGGCGGGGCAATCCTCCTCCCGTCTCCATGGCAACGGTCACACCGTTATGACCATATTCCATCACATGCCTCACCAGTCTGCCCCCGCGTGTGTGAGAGAGAGAGAGAGAGAGAGAGAGAGAGAGAGAGAGAGAGAGAGAGCCTTTAAAATGTTTTCAAGCCCTCTCCAGCGATCTAGTTTCCTGTGTTTCAGGTTATTTCTGCTCTGAGCGGTATCCAGAGGAGCGCCAGCATCACTGTAGAGAATAAGATAAGACATGGCAGCGTCCCGTCATCATCCCCGAAGGAGGGATTTTGTTTACCGGGCGTAAAAAAAATCTTACCGCTGCGGAGACTGTCCTCAATGGCAGGAGACGGAAAGCGTAACCCATTGATAGTTTCTTGGCATTGGAAGTGCAGATGGCCACCAGCACAAAATGAGCATCTAAATGGCCGAGTGGAGCACTTGGGATGCACCGAGGCGGCCGTTGAATGAGAGCATGAGGTCTCGTTGAGACAGGATGGAGAGGATGCAAACAGTTCTGCATCATGCCCTGGCTGAATGCTGGCTGGCAGTGCTACAGGGGACAGAGGGAGAGGGAGAGGAGGGGGGGGAAGTGTCTGCTCTAATGGACAATGTTGTCTGAGGGCCAAGGCAAGATTCAGGCCAAGACGGGAACAAGCAAGAATTAGGGGTACCTGATCCCCCTGTCCGTCTGTACATGGGTTGGAAGGAATTTGCAGGGAGCAGTCACACTGGATGGAGTGGGCTACAGATTATGGGGGTAACCAGGAAGTCACACGGTCAGGGCCTCAAGCCTCAGGCCTTCGGCTTGCAGTTGCAACAAAGGTCCCCTGCTGGAACACAACCGACAACGTCGCGTTCACATGGCATGCGCGGTCACCATTCGGCTACTAAGGCACCCCAAATCTTAACTCAAGGTCGCTTACTCGTTGTGGGGCTTTCGACCATATGACATAGTCATCAGCGGTAAGGTAGTTTGCTCGGCATCCATGAAAATGTAGATGATCTCATTTTCCATGATTCCGAGCAACCAGTATGTCTTTTCATCTACGTATATTGGCACAAAAGTAAAGCTTTACAGTTGAAAGCAAGATTCTAAATCTGGTTAGATTGTCATTGCAGCTTCCGGGTAGTTTTCCTTTGTTTAGAATGTCATCTAACCAACAGAAAATCACACCAGTTTCTGTTCCATTCTCTCCTTTGTGGAAGGAAACACTGATGACACGGGCAAGCATGGCCGTCGCAGTGCCAATGCAGTAGCTGGCGTACGGCTGTAGAAGTGTGTGTCCCGCAAGGTGTATTGAAATGATGGATTGCCTGCATTGTGTCTAGCTCTAAAGATCAATCAAACCCACCTCCATCAGTACGTGTGCAGCCTTTGATGCATTCTGATTGACCGCCGGTCTGCCATCTGTCACGCGTGTCAGTCTTCTCCTGCCGAACTTCAACCTGGGACGAGATGTATCTCGGGACCTCTCTTCTCATTCTGTCTTCCTTGTCTCCCCCTCCCTCCCCCTCATTTTATCACTCCTGTCTGTGCTTGTTGTTTACATTTCTCGCTCCGCTGTGAACCAGGGGTGTTTTGGGGGGGCCAGGAGGAAGTGACACGTGTTTGACGGGAAGCTGCCTTGGGGACGAACAGGGCTTTAACTTCGCTCTGCTGCCTGTCCAAGAGTACACACACACGCACACACACACACACACACACACAAAAGCAGTTCCGAAGACGTGAAAGGCCAACACCGAAGTAGTAGTGGAGTTGAGGTATCTTTGGGAACCACTTGTGCTGCAGGCGGGACACGTTAACCACATATCCATCCACACACTCCATTGTCTTTCTCCAATTGTGGGCATTAGACAGTTGCATTAATGAAAAAAAAGGAAAGCGGTCCTTGTCACAACTGGGATCCGTCCCTTGCTGAGATGCTCCACTGAAAAATGGACGCTACACAGAATGTTCCTCGTAGTAATATCATAATGAGATAGATGTCGACCCAGGATGGGAGTGTCTTTGTGCGCTTTTCTGTCTGCGTGTACCATCAGTGCAGCAATTGAGAGGGCTGTGTGACTTGTTAGCTTGACTGGAAACACTTGTTTTCAGCTACTTGTAGCTGCAGCTTACTGTGTTAATAAAACCCCAGCAGCCAGTGCACATAATGTCAGTCCATATATTGTATGGCATACTGCTGTAGCATCTCTGCATAAACCCTTGTAACGGCATAAACACATTTTAAGCCAGCAAGCTAACGCTAACAATGCTAGCTATCTAAGGCTAATTAAAAGTTTTTCTTTATTATCAAGCTAATGTCTCTTGTTTTCGCCAACGACGGCAATGGAAAACTGTCTCAGACTTTGTAGTGATATGTTGATGTGTGTGACTTCATGTCTCTTTTCAGGTCAATTAAACTTATCTAAAAACTTATATTTTAGCTAGCTAATTTAACACTAAAACAAGCTAGTCGATGAAAAGTGAAATAAATGAGTTAGTGGTTAAGGAGAAGTATAAAGCCCTCTACTTTACTTTACTTGCAGTAATATTTTTTTTATTTTTTTTTAAGGGTGTCACAGTTGTCCAAATGCACAATTCGACTTTAGATTGAAGCTTCTTTTTTCCCCAGCACGGACAGCTATGCAGTTCTTCAAGTCTTGATTAGTAAAACGATCAACAGATCATTGGTTCTCAAACATGGTATCATGTGTAACAAAAATGAAGTGTTAACTTAAATGTAAAGCAGGTAATTGGCTGCTGCAGTGAAGAATATAACGGAATGAACTGAGTTGAGCTAGAGTAGTAAAAATATGCTAATAGTTACACAGAAGTGAAGGACGAAATCAAAAGCTCATTTCGATCGATCTTCTATTTAGAACTGAAATATTGACACCCTTGTTATTTATGTAATAGTTATATTTTTGTCTTGAACTCTTTACTGCCAATCACCAATATTAGTGCTCCATAATGTAATGGCAGAATGGCAAGATAGGACTTATTTGACGTATTTAACTGACCCAGTTTCTGTCGTTTCTTCCTCCCTTACCCCTCCTCCTCTCTCTGGCAGGTTTTGATGCACATCGACGGCGATGCAGACGGATTCCTGCGGCAGCGGCTGCCCGTCCTCTCCTCCATGTCCCAGCAAGGTGGTGTGGCCACAGCCTACGTCTGCCAGGACTTCACCTGTTCTCTCCCTGTCACTGACCCCCAGGAACTGCGCAGGCTTCTGCTGGACGGGACCACGGAGAGACGGGCAGAATGACCACTGCACTATTTATTGACTGACCTGGGATTTACCGGGAGGGCTGTAATCTTCTAAACTAAAATAGATTATTTCGGCTGTGAGTCTGACTCTGCCATATAAGAATGCCAATGCTTTAAAAGTCGATACGCTACATTGGAAGAAATACATACAGTACCATGAGGTGACTAGGGCCTCCAGTCCTTCATACTAAACTCCAACCTATTCTTTGTTAGCAAGACCAGCTAGGCATTACCTCGAATATGGCTTTCAGAGACGGTTGATCAGTGGAGCCATATTCAAATTCAGGTCTCTAAATGTCCTTGTAAAGAAACACGTGCAGCAGCAGTGGCAGTCCACTGAGAATATTTAACACTTGTACAAAATGTCCTGGCTTAGCTGTTACCCCGGAAGTAAGCTACAGACTCGTAATAGACTATAACATGAGACCGCTTGGATGAATTGGACTGGCAATATTCTGCAGATGAACCGATGTGCCCTGTTGTCCTCTCCTGGCCCTGTGTTCCTGCTCTCTACATTCATGTCACATGGATCTGACAGTCCGCTTGCCTGTGTGTGTGTGTGTGTGTGTGTGTGTGTGTGTGTGTGTGTGTGTGTGTGTGTGTGTAAAAAAAGGTTGGTTCGCAGGTTTGTATGTATCCACGTGCATCAATTTCAAAAGTTTGTGTGCGCATTTGATTTCGTTTTGAAGTAACGTCGTGGTGAAGGAGCTGCTCCCTCAGGATGCTCTGTTTACCATCTGCTCTCACCCCCGTTGTCTTCCATTCAACGTGAGAGGATTCTGCTCCACTGCTGCAGAGGCTCGTGTCTCGTGTCTTTTATCTTGAGGTTTAGTGCAATACACAGCGTGTATACGCACAACGCTGAATAATAAATAGATTTCCCTTTGTAAGTAGTGTCCTTTACATTTTTTGGGGGATGGATGCTTCTTTTTTTTTGTTTGCAGTTTCTATTCTCTGGGTGTCTTGAAACAAGGCGTCATAAGTGGGATCACTCAAACACACTATTTTCAGTTTTCTCTTTTTGCCTTAAGACTTCCTCGAATAAATACTAGAATAAACGGCATGACATGTTGGATATTTTTGTCAAATTCTTTTATGAAAGGTTTCTTTCTCTCGGCCCAAGATGGGACAACTCCTGCAGGGACGCCGTGAATGTGTCCCAGCAGTCTGCCTTTGTACTATAAATATTCATCATACAGAGAGAAACCCACTGTTGTGTACTTTTTTTTTTTTTTTTTTTTTTTTTTTTCCTTCTTCTTCTTCCCCCGGCAGACTGCATGAAGGTAATGTAAACTCTGTGTGACTGCGCGTCGTGTCGAGAATGTGCGTGGACGTGTGTGAGAGCGAGAGGGAGACAGATGGACTGCTGATGTTTAGGGAGGCGAGGGGGGGTTTGCTTCAGGGGGTCCCGCTCTGGAAGCGGAGGAAAAGGAAAAACGGGAGGTGAAATGAATCGCCATCTCATCCACCAACGTACTGTAAGAACATTTAGACCATCTGCGGTTGTTTACTTTTGCTTTCCCTCCTATTTAGTCTGCCAATTCCCCCCCTCCTCCTCCTTCTCCTCCTCCTCCAAGATCTGGCGAGGGGCCTTGTCGCCTCGAGTACAAGGGAACTCATTTTGGCAGACGGCTGCTTCTGTGGAAGAACAAGAAATTGCTAAGAGGGGAAAACGTGGGGTGAAGATGAGGAATGGGAGGCACACAGGCACTGACAGGTGTATGAGAGAAGGAGAGGCATCACTCTGTTCCATTTTAGCACTTTCCCGACCTCACTTTTCTTAACATGTCAGATTAGGAACAGTCGCCCCTTTTTGGCACTTTTGGAGCACCTTTTTGTGCATTTCCAAATTTCCACAGTCGTATACCTCCCCCTCCCTTCACCGCGGTGTCTCACCCGATCATCCTCTACCAGGTTGGGACCCCTCTATCTTTGGTTACAGACACACTCGTGCGTCTCTCCGCAACAGTAGCTCTGCTGTACTAAAGCCCTGTAAGCGTGCTAGAACCGCTGTCTTCTCATTTATTCAATCTTTCTCCTTACACGCACCATTTGTTATCCCCCCTCCCTTCGCAAATTCCACCAGTGCTCTCATTATTGTTCTGCTCTGATTGTTGCGAGGAGCTGCACAAGCTAAATTTTAATTAGCGCCAACTGGGATTAGTGGGGGCAAACTTGTTGACCCGCTAATTATGAAATAATCTAAGCGCCACTTATCGGCAAAGATATTAATGATAACTTCATTTGTGTGGCACTTTTCAAAGCAAAATACAAACGGCAAACCTTGTGTTTCAACAGAAGACTGATACGATTATACAGGACAAAGTACGACCAGGTAAATGAGATCAAATAGTAAATTAAACAATATAATGTTCAAGAGATTTCAAATTACATAATTCAGTTAGAATTGTGAAAGTTTTCTTCTCACCACAGGTTTTTTTGACATGGCACGGTCACCCTTGGTTGCGAATCTAAGACCCAAGTGTGTGTTCCTCTACGAATGGGCCAACATGTTCTCATTCCCAACTCGCCACACAGATGCTCGGTCAGGACCCCTTAGCGTCCCTTTTTAACTCATTGGGTCAAACGATGATGCTACACATAGTTAACGTACATTTAAAAAAACTACTTGGTTTGGTTACAAGTAGTCATCTTCAAGAAGTCGACGAGGACTTTTGGTTTCACATGGGACACAAACAGCGGTCTCCTGAGTGAAAGTCGTGCGTTTGCTTGACCCATCCATCCCGACCTCCTGCCTATTCAGACCTTTGCAATAATACATTTTACTCTAAAATCTGGTAAAAAAAAAAAAACGGGGACAAGTGCAATGGAATGGTCACACAAGTCGAAACGCAAATTACAACCACCAACTTGGGCAAGACCCCGACCATAATCAAACCTGACGTCACAGCAACATGGCGGCGCACACTGCGAAGCCTAAGCAGAATTATCTTACTACTCCTTGCATCTTTTTTAACAGGCGACATTGACTTACTAACTACTTCTGACAAAGTCGACTGAGTAAGATTGTGTGATCAACAGCATTAAATCAACCTTAAGGTCGAGCTGGACTAAGAGCAAAGGCCTGCATTGGCTGCTAAGTGGCAGCCACTTGACACACAAAGCAAAGTCCTAAACACCAGACTAGAAATGTTCACGAACACGAGTTAACAATTTACAAATGCTACAAATTATTGCATACATTTCATTCATATGCGTTGGATGTCAAGTATGAGTAAGCTACATACTTAGTGTTGTATCTGCAAGTTTGTAAATGTACGAGCACAGTGTAATCCGATACTATTTGAATGGGACTAAGTTTGGTTAGTGCAAGAGTTTAAATGTGCGTGTTCGTTTCATAACTACTTTTGGTTTTTGGATGGTTATGTTGTTGACTCACGCCACAGTCACGTTTCTGAGCAGTAAGGCTGTGTGATAATGAGGCCTCAGGGGGCTGAGAACAGCGACTCACTAACATGGAGAGAGGAGGAACATTCGTGGATTCTCTTATGCTACTCTTCTGTCACCGAGCTAGAAAAAAGACGGATTTCATGTCTCTGCTCTCGTGCTGTCTTCCAGAACAACTTTATTTTTGGAAAAAGAAATGTGGAAAACCTTTCGATATAGAGCAAAGTTAGTCTCGTTAAAAGCTTTTTTTCCGTTTTATTCAAAAAGCGAAAGTGCTTTTATGTGAAAACAGTTACTATATCAAACTTTTATAATCACTCTAGTGTTTTTTTATTTGTGTGGTAGTGTGTGAGTCAGAATAGGTATCCCACCACCAGCGCTTGTCTGATAAGCCCAAGAAACTCCAAGAGGAAAAATCAATGCTTCTCCTCATCAACCCAGTCTGGAACCTTGGTAATTACACTGAGACGAGAGACACACACACACACACACACACACACACACACACACACACACACACATACAAAGACTCGCACATGAAACGGAGACAAAAAAGGTAAAGCAGCCTCGAAATCCAAATATCCCGATGTACCGTACGTTCCAGATGTCAATGATGCTGTTGATCTGCTATGACTGCAGAGTGGTGATACGCAGAGAGGACTTTCACACTTCCTTGGTTTTATGCTTTGCTTAAACTCCACGATATCAGCCTGAGCCGACGGACGTTATGCTTTCTGGAATGAAAATGACCGTAGGAGGAAATATTTTCGTTTTATCCCATGCAGTATGTCACACAAAGCGAGACGACCACCTGAGGTGCCTCCCAAGGCCACATCAGATAGGCTACCATTTCAAAATTGATGTCTGCTCTCACCTTGTTTGACGTCTTCGATGTGCTCCCGAGGCAGAACAAATTATACTGAACAAAAAACATCGGCATTTTCTTTTTCTGCTATTGCCGGAAAGAAGAAATGATGAAAACGGGGACATAACAGTGAGCTAAAAGAAGCTAAAACACTCTCTAGGGCTGAGGGGAACTGTAACACAAGCAACCCTTTTTCAAATTACACACAGCCACGTCATGTGGTCCACTAAACTGTATGTTTCAAAATCAAAAGTTAGACCAATACTTTTTCTTTTTCTTTACCCAATGCCAAATTTGACCACACCATTTTTTGCTGTCACTTTGTGTTGAGTTGGTGAAGCACAGTTTATTTCAATGCCCAATGTATCATGGTCGGTGGTGATGAAGGTGAAGAAAGACGGCCATCGTTGTCGGTGGTTGTTACCACCACCATTGTTACTCTAATGCTTCAGAGGGGCCAAACTGCACCAGCCGCATTGTGAAAGTTCAACTTAATGTTAACTAAAAACACCTTGAGCTTTAGACAACAGAAAAGATCACTGTTTACGAAACAAAAGTACGGTAAAATAAGTCAACTTAGACTTTCGGTTTCAAACGGGACACGTACAGCTGTCTCCAGTGTGAAAGTCCTGTGTTTGTTTGACCCATCCAACCACAACGACACCTCCATCTATTCATCATCTCTGGTGTCAGCAGGAGGGTTCAACGGATGGAAACAAACACAAACATCCACACTTTTACACTTTACAGCATCATACCAGTACATGGCAGTGAAACTGTGTTGGTGTATTTATATGTCTGTCACCTTATTTCTCACTCCCCAAACCTCTCTTCTCCTCCTCCTCCTCCAACTTGTCTTGCTCTCTCCTTTTGTGACATTTTGGCCAACAATGTATCTACATGACAGAAGCGGGAGTGCAGCAGTGTTGGATCATGGCTCAGACTGTATGGGCTGCAGCAGCATGTCAAAAGCAGTCATGAGCAGCGGAGTGCATCCAGCCAGACGCTGTGGGGCCAACTGACGGCCAGGAGTGGAGGCAGTGAGGTAATGGAGTTATCCTCACAGTCTACATGAAAAAAAAAAACACTGAGTTGGTCCTTGACATTTCAACACAAACCTTACTTTTGGCTATGGTGGTGTGGTAAGTATTGCCCTAAAGCAGGGGTATTCAATTCAATTTCAATGAGGTCCATTTAGAGAGAATGTTTCTCATGCAAAGGTCCGGAACATCACAATAATGTCTGATTTAGTCCCATATATATTGAATTAGCGGTTGTATTAACGTCTGTATGTAGTCAACAACTGACTGTTAAATTCGGTTTTAGGTCC